AAAAAAAATCCCCGTAATACTTATCAGAAACTGACAGGCACAAGAAGCTACTTTTTTTCATTCCATCATCTCACTCACACTGATGGTGTCCAAGTGCTGCCGGAAGGTCAGCTCCGCTTCTTTGCTCGGCAAGAACAGCTTCCCGTGGCGGCTGTTGGGCGGCAGAGTCGTCGGAACTGCAAAGAGCCCACCATCGGCATCGGCGCTTCCAGAACTTGAAGGACCAGCCACCAAGAGAGGTCTAGGGAGGTTTCTCAAACCTAGAAGATTTTAACAGCAATTTAAATGAAGTCAAGTGAAAACAACAAGAAAGTAACTCTTTAGTGACCGAAGTATCCTACAGAGAGCCAGGACTCATGGGTTCTGGCTCTGCCACCTCCTGTTTGTGATCTCTGATCATGAAACTCTCCCACCTGCACACTGACAGTATTTCCCTGCTCCACAAGGACACTGCAAACATTCTCTTGTTTTGAAATCTTCGGAAGGAGGGGGCTACATGCAATTTTATGCTGCTAAAGAAACTAGACTTCAAGCACCCAGTTTTAAGCCCCACACAGACTGCATTAACCAGTTTATTAAGAGTTTTGGGCTCTTCCCACTAAACAAACTACATATCCACCATTCCCTTTGGAGAGGAAGATAACACAAACACAGACTCATTCTACAATGTTTATGTCTTATTTACACTCCCTCCCCCATCCCTCCCACCCCATGGTGATTCAAAGTGCAATCTCAGCAAAGTGGTTCTGGTGAGAGAGAAACAAAAGAGCAGGGATCAACCCACCAAAATACCTTCCAAAAGACAGGATTGTCTTAGAAATGCATTTGGCACACTGAAATAACGGCATCTGGTCTGAGTAAAACTGCTCCGTTTACATTTAACTTTACAAAACACTGCAGGATTTCAGAGTGCTGTGCCTGCAGAGCAGGCACCCAGCTGGGATGGAAACCAGTATTGTTAGGATGTCGTGCTGAGATAACCAACAAGTGTACCTGGCCTTCTTCTACAGAAGAAGAGA